CCTGAACACACATCCTCATCATCGTTATCTGGTGTGAAGGGGGTCTGGCGCTTCACACAAGAAGACTGCGCCAGCCCCAACCATACACAGACGAAGGAGGGGTTAGACGAAAGAGGAGGGGAAGATGGGAATGTCGTCAACACCAAGTCTCGGTATTGGCCCAAATAGTCCCTCGTCGAATGTCTGAATCCCAATGTCCAGTCTGGATCCAATGTCGTCAAGTCTCAAGTCACAACTCTTTCTCTCTCTGTCGTAGTCTGAAAAGTCAGGTGGGGAGATGGTGGACTTAGAAGAGGGAGAAGAAGAACGCTCTCTCTCTGTGTGTCCAGTACTAACCTGTGAAGTTGGCGCCTTGATGCAGGTACCACGAAGATGGAGCTGGAGCGATGGCGCCACAGGTAAGTACCACTGGCCTCCGCCAGTATCTCTCCCACTCTATGATCTACCACCTACCAGCACCCAGCGCTGAAGACTACTCTATGGCTATGGCGCCCAGCGTCGAAGACTACAGCTAGCGCTAACTCCTGCCTAGCGCTGAAGACTACTACAACGCTCCTCCTGAATGCTGCGGCGGAATCCTGAAGACTACTCGTGCCTACTGAAAAACTACCCCCCGTGAAGTGCCTGGGAAGTCCCTATGAACTACCACGGRTGCCTCCTGACTGCAGGCGAGCAGTCCAGGAGGCTGCTCTTGCCAATGCCGTTCGGAGTCAGGGGCTGCCGCTGCAGCTCCTGCTCGAGCTCGTGAGGAACAGGCTATTTCTGGCCTGTTCCGCATCCCTGTTTACGTGCCTAAGTCTTAGGGGCAGGTCGAAACAATGAGGGCCTGAAAATGGCCCTTCGTTTCAGGCTGGAAAAACTTTGGGTCTGAAAGACCCATAAATAGGCTGAATCGGAGTAGGGCCTGCAGGCCCTCGTTTTTCAGCTTTCAGGCTGAAACGATCGGGGCCTGTAAGCCCTAAGTTTAGGCTGAATGTTTGGGACGGGCCCTGCAGGGCCCGTGTGGCTACGCAGTATGCCACACCCCCGCCTCCTTGAAGAACCGAGCTTACCTGCGAGGGCGAAGCTGTCTGTCTRAGGGAGGGACCACAGTCCGGGTGGGAGGGGCTGGTCGTGAAGCTTCCTGAGCTAACCTCCACTTTTCATAATGCGCGTAGACCAGTGGTGCGGATGCCTTCAAATCTGTGCCTGAAATCCACCGAGTGTCATCGCGATCGCATGCTTTGAATGTGACTTTGTACTACCGCGGCTTGCTGCCGTACTTGCGATCGGAGATGACGCGGTCAACTTCCTGATGACCGTCCATCGAGGGAGGGTCCTGCGATCGCCAGCCCAGAAAGTCGTCGCTCTTGGCTGGCGCGTATGTTGCTAGCTTCGAGGCGTGGAAGACCGGATGGACCGTCAGATGCTCTGGAATGTTGATCACAAATGAAGGGCCATCGGGCTCATAGCCCGCGGCTGCTGTCACAGACCAAGGTCCAAACCACTTGGGAAGCAGTTTGCGTGAAACATCYTGTTCCAGTGCAAACTCTTCCGCTGAGACCCAAACCAGATCACCGGCGTGGGATATGGTACGCAACGCCTGTTGGCTTGCTGCTGCATGCGGACTTGAGCCTTTTGCATATTTGCGCGGGCTTGAGTCAGCAATTCCCTGTACTTCCGGACGGAAGCGGGAGAGCAGGCAGCGTCAATGTCGGCTGGTCGAGGGAGGAAAAGGTCGGCGAAGATACGACCTTTCCGTCCACCGTGGTGCAACTCGAACGGAGTCACGCCGATCGCTGGGTGCACCGAAGTGTTGTAGGCGAACTCGATGTCGGGGAGGCGGTCAACCCAATCTTTCTGGTCCAGACGGATGAGCGTACGAAGCATCATTTGAGCGGTTTGATGTGCCTGCCCCGTTTGCCCGTCTGTCTGAGGATGCCGAGCCGAACTTGATTTCATTGTTGTGCCGGACTCCTGCATGAGAGCAGTCCAAGACGCCGACATGAAACGAGTGTCGCAGTCGCTGACAATGTCTTCTGGTACACCGTGGGCACAAATCCAACCAGTGTGCAGGAGGCGTGCCAGCTTCGGAGCCGTGGAGTAGTACTTGCAAGGGAAAAAACGCTCGTACTTACTCAATCGGTCCACAACCGTGAGGATGCCGTCGTGCCCGAGCTGGTCGCGAGGAAATGGACCGGTGACGTCCATGGCAATGGAGAGACCGGTTTCCCGTGGGATAGGCATCGGGTGTAACTCGCCATAGGGATTGCGGTTGCGGGTTTTACTGCGTCGGCGAACTTCGCACGAGTCGCAATACCGAGTGACATCGGTAATGAGGTCGGGCCATCGGAATCGCTGTCGAAGCCGTGCAATAGTTCGGTTGACTCCGAAATGGCCGGCGAGTCGTGAATCATGATACTCGCCGAGGAGGCGAGTCCGAAGACGATGGTCGCATGGGACACACAATAATTCCTTGCCTCTCGAGTGGAGGAGCAAGTATCTGTCGGCAATGCGATAGTGGCTGGCCGGCGGGTGATCCGAAGATAGTTGTGCGTACATCGTGGCGAAGTCCGGATCAGACTCATATGCCCGGATGAAGTGTCGCTGGAGTTCCTCGTCGAATGCGAAGGCATGATGTGTCATAGCGCAAAGATCTGGTCTTCGCGAGAGTGCATCTGCTGCGCGGTTTGAGAGGCCGGGTAGATGTTTCGGTGTGAAGTCAAACTGGTCGATGAAGTACATCCATCGTCCGATCATGTTGCTCGCCGTATCCTGCGTCTTGTAGTAGGTCAATGGATTGTTGTCCGTAACCCATGTGAACCTACGACGCCCAAGGAGGAAGTGCCGCCATCGCTTGAGAGCCATGACGAATGCGAGAAGCTCCTTCTTCCTTGCATCATCAAGCGAGTTGATGGGAGGCACTTTGTGGCTGAAATACTCCACAGGGTGCCAGTCGTCACCGTCGTGCTGTTCCAAGACTGCCCCAATGCCATAGCCGGAAGCGTCCATAGTCACTCGCGTCGGCAGGGTGGGGTCATAGATGCTAAGGACGGGTGCCATGAGCATAGCCGTCTTAAGCGCTTGGAATGACCGGCGTGCGTCGTCATCGAATACGAATGGCACCTTTGGCGACTGTAACCTCGTCATAGGCTGTCTCTTATACACATCTAGATGTGTATAAGAGACAGGTGCCAGTCGTCACCGTCGTGCTGTTCCAAGACTGCCCCAATGCCATAGCCGGAAGCGTCCATAGTCACTCGCGTCGGCAGGGTGGGGTCATAGATGCTAAGGACGGGTGCCATGAGCATAGCCGTCTTAAGCGCTTGGAATGACCGGCGTGCGTCGTCATCGAATACGAATGGCACCTTTGGCGACTGTAACCTCGTCATAGGTGCAGCAATCCTGGAGTATCCGGTGATGAATCGCTGATAGTAGCCCGCCAACCCCATGAATGAACGAACGTCCGTGGTGTTGGTGGGCTCGGGCCATACTCGTAGGGCCTCGATCTTGTCCGCAAGCGGACGGATGCCTTGCGGCGTCACATAGTGTCCCAAGTACTCCAGCTCCTGCCGCGCGAATTCGCACTTGTCGCGGTTGGCTTTGTACTTGGCTTGTCGTAGCCGCTCCAAAACGGTGCGCAGGTGTTCGACATGCTCCTCCAAACTCCAGCTGTAAGCCAGAATGTCGTCAAGGTAGATAAGTACGAAACGATCCAGCATGTGTCGGAACTCCGTTGTCATAGCCGCTTGGAAAGTGGTCGGGGCATTCGTAAGACCAAATGGCATAACCAGCCATTCGAAATGCCCATACCGTGTCTTTAATGCGGTTTTGTAGCGATCCTCCTTGCGAATCTCGAGTTGGTGATATCCCGACTTGAGGTCCAGCTTGGAGAAGAACTTGGCGCCGCCCAGTCGCTCGAGAAGATCGCCGATGCGTGGGAGAGGGTCGGCTTACCTGATCGTCTCCGATGCACAACCGCAGGTCCTTGTTCTTCTTCCGGACGAAGAGAACAAGAGGACCGTATGGCGATGAGAAAGGCCGAATCCAACCTTTCTCTAGAAGGTCGTCGAGTTGTGCGCGAAGCACACTTAACTCTTCCTCGCTCATTCAGTAGATGCAACCGCGCGGAGGTACAGCCCCATCCTCGAGGATGATCTCGTGGCGGATGGGTCGATCCGGAACTACTCCGTGTGGGCCTTCGAACACGTCGCTGTAGGCGTCGAGAAGTTCGGTGATGCGTGGATCCGAAGGTGAGTCCGTCGATGAAGCGTCATGGGGTGGGAGGGCGTGGAGAAAACTCACCCCCATCTCCTCGATGTCGTCTCTGATGATGGAAGCTCGCATGCTTGCGGCGGATACCACGTGGCAGCTGATCGAAGGATGAGGAAGAGGTATCGTGCATGGAACTAATACTCCGTTCCGATCACGAATCTGAACGGTGCGATGGAAGAAGTTCACCGGGTGATCCACGCTTCGCAGCCATGACATGCCCAAGATCATGTCAAATTTGGTGTCCAGAATGTCAAAGGACACCGCCTCACTTGCGTGAGGGGCAAAGTACACTGGGACGTTGTCAATGCACCGGTCGATTGACTTGTGCATGTGACCGTCTGCCAACGTGCATTGCGTAGGCTGGGACTTCCTCCGGACGTGGGCAAAGGCCGGCGCGCACCATGAAGTCCTGGCTGATGTAGTTGCGAGATGCTCCGCAATCGATCAAGGCGTTGCAGGTCGCCTCTCCGATTCGAATGCGTACATATAGCAATGGTGCGTCGATGTCGTCGTACCGTTGCATCTTAAACTGGCGGTCGATCTTCGCGATGTAGGCGTGAAGGTCGACAACCTCTGCTTCGGCGTCCATCAACGGAGCTGGGCCTGCAGTGTGCAAGTAATCCCGCAATTGTGCCATGAGCACGTTGCAATGCGGTTTCGGCAATCGTCCGGTCGAGGGAACGGGCATCCACTGGAAGTCCGTGAATGTCAATGGGTCGAGCTCTTCAAGTCTTGACCATGACGTCGAATCCCCGGCGATAGATTGCGGCGAAGCTGCCGAATCGGTTGCCGATGGTGATGAAACCATGCATGCGATGGATTGTTGTACGTGGGGCGGTTGGTCCAGCGGTGGAACCAAGTGGACAGCATAATCCTCGTAAGTGTAATGAGAACTTGCGACATTTGCGTTCTCCCCAGATGTGCAGGAGGCTGCTAGCAAGGCGGCCGAATCTGGCGGAGTAGAAGGTGGAGTCGCCTCACCTTCCGCGGAGCTCAGTTTCCCGAGCTGAGGCGGGGTCGCACATCCTCCTTGCCCTGATGCTGGTACAGGGAGGTCTTGTGCTTGGTGCTGTTGCACCAAAAATAGCTGTCGTAGCGGCCGCGGTGCTTGTATTCCGTCTCGGTCAAGCCGAACTTGACCCATGGAACTTTACTGGCTGTCCATTTCCGGCCTGCGATGCGGATTTCGCCTTCCCATTGTTGCGGGACTTGTTGCTGCTTGGCGGTTGGACAGGAGCCACCTGATCTCCGTCACTTGATGTTGGAGTGGCTGCTGGGTTATCTCCACTGTCCGACAGGACTGCAGCGAAGTGCTGCTGTCGCGGACTAGTTCGTACCTTCTCCACATAGGTCGGCTGCCATGTTGATTTCTCGTGTGCAGCTGACCTGTTGGTCTTGATGATCTCTCTTGCCTTGTCGATAATCTCGGCGAAAGTGGAGTTCTGCTCGCGATCACCAAGAGCCTGGCTCAATGCAGCGCAGGATCTGTTGTAGAACTCACGTCTGAGATGTATGAATGGCAAGTCCAGATTGGGCACTGCTGCAATCTTTTGCCACTCCGTGAGCCAGTCCCATGTTGAAGTGTTGCCCTGTGACATGGTGAACAGACGGTTGATGGCGAGTGTCGGCGCGTCGTCGACGATGAACAGCTTTTTCCACAGCCGTGTTAGTTCCTCCCATGTGATCTTGTCCTTCAAGTCCGGTATGTCGACGCCGTGGGAGGTTGCCAGGTGGCTCAACCAGGTCTGGCATCCGCCCTTTGAGTTCAGGAACAGGGCGCCGATGTACGCATGCTTGGCGTCAGGCAGAATCCCGAGTTGCGTCGTGAATGCCTCCCACCAGAGGACCGGGTCCTGCTGTGTGCAGTCGTCAAACTTGTCCAGTTGGAAAGTTGGCATCTTGTACATCTTCGGATTGTCATCCGCGTTCGTCGACTGCAACTGCTGGACCTCGGTCTTCAAGGTATGCAGCTGACTGCTGATGGTGGTCGGCGCAACGAAGGTGCTGATGTCGCCGAGCATTTCCACTACGTGGTCAACGCGTTCCTCCAGTTGGCGGCTAGAAGATGCACTGCTGGAAGCCCCAACATCCGGTCTTGGTGGAACTTGTTCCAAGTCGTGTACACGGGCATCCAGTGCCCGTGTGGCATCCTCGTGCTGAGTCTTATGGTTCCGCACGGCCCGCTGGAGGTTCGCCAGCTCGGACTGTAGGTGGTTACATGTGTAAACCAACCTGGTCACGAGCTTGGCCATGAACTCCTTATGCTGTTCTTCCGGTGTTGAATCGTCGCCGTTCGGTTCAAAGTGCCAATACTTGAGTCTCTCGATGCTGTTGGCTTCATGCCGCAGCAGCAGWTCCTGGGCTTCCTTGCGGTGAGCCTGGGTATCTGCGTCTGCTTCGGCCTGTAGCCGCAGCTTCTCTGCTGTTGCCGCTTCTTCAGCCTGTAGCTGGGCAGCCTTGACTGCCAGCTGGCGTTGTTCCTCAGCCTCGATTGCAGCGAGCTGAGCCTGGAAGCGCTTTTTGTAGTCGGCAATGGGCTCATTGGCCAGTTGGCCCGGCAGGCCCGTCATGTTGCTGACGTGGCTCTGTTGAAGTGGCACTGCTGACGTGTCACTGTGTCTGACGTGGCACTGCTTACATGGCACTGTGTCTGACGTGGCACTGCTTACATGGCACTGCTGACGTGGCACTGTCTGACGTGGCACTGCTGACGTGGCACTGTTGACGTGGCACTGTTGACGTGGCACTGCTGATGTGGCACTGCTTACGTGGCACTGTGTCTGACGTGGCACTGCTGACGTGGCACTGCTTACTTGGCACTGTCTCTGACATGGCACTGCTGACGTGGCACTGCTTACGTGGCACTGTACCAACCCGGAAATGCATGCAAGGGGGTGGGTGGGAGGGAACACGTAGGTAGGCAACCAACCCAACAATACTTTCCTCCGGCCCTAATCAACAGATAAAATAAAATTAAAAATTAAAAGAGGACTACTTCCTCTTTTTTTTTTCTTTTTTTTTTGTATATCTGTTGATCTATAATGAGTAGGACATGTCAGAAGAGTACTATGAACGAGATCTAGGCTAGGTTCCGCAAAGTTTCGGCTTTTACAACTGCGATCTTGAAAAAAAATATTTTGCGAAATGGAGTAAAGATGCGATTTTCAGAAAAGAACGAACTCCAGTTTCTGAGAATATAGCAACCTCCGATTATGCCTAACACAATATTGGTAGGCTTTGCAAGATTCGGCTTTCAAAAAAAAATTTGCGAGATAGAATGGAAATGCGATTTTCAGAAAAGAATAAGTTCAGTTTCCGAGAATATGACCACTTCTATCGTTATCCCAATATGCCTAGAGAACGAAAATRCTAACTTCAGAAATTTCAGCTATGAATGCGAAATATCAGAGAAACGAAATGCTACTATCGGGAATTTTCAGACAAAACGAAATGCGATTTATCAGAAATTTTCAGATATTTGTTACGTAAAAACGAACTACTAATATCAGAAAAATTCAGGTAAAACGAAATGCGAATATCCGAAATTTTAGATAGTTGTTGCGAGAAAAACATTTTCAGAGATTTGCCTAAGTCCTACTTGCGTTACTAATGAGTGATCACTAGATCAGCAAGCTGGCTACTTGATTGAGCGGGTCCTCTGAATGAGAGGTCCGCTTCGATACCAAACTGTTGCATACCGTAACATGCAGACCAGAACAAGAACCGACCTCTCAATACAAAGTACAAGATAACACAGCGGAAGACTTAGATATGAATGATCCGAACAATCAATATTGCAATGCAGCCCTGAACA